TCTGAAGTTCCAAAGTGGTTCGATCCTCCTCGGCAGGTTCAGCAGAGAGCTGTTCAGGAGAACTGTTCTCAACGTCAAACAAGTCTGGTGGACGTCTTCCAGTGGCTATCTCCAAAGGAGAATAGCCTGAGACAGTAAGCTGGCAATTCCTTGCCCATGCCACTTTCTTGACTGCTTGACGAACAGTCACCTTCTCTGCATAACCTTCATCAGCTAAGGCCTTTGCCATAATGGCCCACGTGCGCTTGAAAAGACGCACTGCGGTCTCAGCTCGATTAGGCCAAGGAGTTCGCGGTCCACATGGATATGGAGTAATGCCATGGAACTTGTAATAGGACATGAACTGTGGCGTGAAAAATGCTTGATCTCCAACGATTCCCTTAGGAACGCAGTTGTTCTCCTCTGTCCATTGTCGGAAAGCTCCCAGAGTCTCTGGCGCTTCCAGGCTTGTGAGAGCCGTAGCCCACAGGAGATTTGACGCACCATCAATGATGACCAAAGCCAAGTAGGCTTTAGTACCGAACTTGATTTCTTCGTGATCAACAAAAATGAGATCACCGAAGGATGATGCTCTCAATCCTGCGATTCTGGCTCGCGGAGGCGTAGGCACTGAGGTGCTGCAAACACGACAGCCTTTGACAATGCTTCACATGCAACTTGTAAAGCTCAACATCATTGTTCAGCTTTTCCAACATGCGCTGATACTGCGGAGAAGCCCTTGAGACCTCGTGGCCTGGCAACGGAAGCGCGATCCTCCTAGGTTCTAGCGACTGTGGCTCTGGGGCCCTCGGAGGAAGCAAATCTGCATTCCCCGGTTCGGACGGTTCGTACTCTTGAAGATCCGGATCATCTTCAGGAGCAGGAGGAGAAGGAGCCGGTTCCTTGGGTTCCTTTCCCTGTGGAAAGCTTCCCTTGGCTCGAATTCTTCTTCTCTCCGGTACCTTTCCCTGAGGAAAGCTTCCGGATGCTCCTGTGTTCTGCGAGCTGTCTTCAGGTTTGCCTGCGCTAACCATATCCTCTGGAGATCCTACCTTGCCACGGGTTGGATCCTTGGTCTTAGCTGGGCACCGAGGTTCTACTCTCGATGCCACCAGGCAGAATCTTGAAAATGGTCTTGCCTTTCCAAGAGTCAGTAGTTCTTGTTGAAGAAAGCTCAGAAGAACGCCAGTCATCTTCTTGAGTTACGCTCTTTCCCTTGGAGAACTCCATGATCGTCTTGCGCTTGGTGTCCAGATACTCCAACGGAATAGGCACAAAACCCGCCTTGGGTTCGTACTTGACCCTTCTCATCTTCTTGTGGATGCGAATCACCTCCATGTCAGCTTCATTGATCACCCACTCATCATCCGTCGCCAAGGCGAGATTCTTGGGTACCTCTTCCTGTGAAGAGCATCCCTCGGTCTTCTGGTGGAAGCCGTACTCGTAGTGGGAGAAGTAGGTGAGGAAGCTCGACTTCTTATGTTTGCTGAAACGCACATTCCACATCAACTGACTGAGTTCAAGAAGGTGAAGTACCAGGTGTGAGCTCGGTGCAACCTTCAGCCTCACATCCTTGATTCCCAGCACAGGGCTGCTGAGCAAGGCCTTTTCCGGATGGAGCTCGAACTGGAAACGAAGATTGCGCATCTGTGGTAAGGACATGAGAATGGGAACATGCCCTTGTTCCACAATGTCGAACTCTGTGGATTGAACTGCAAAGTCCCGGTCGTACATGCAAATGACCAACTTCTGGTTGCATTTGGTCCACTCGGAATTGGCAAAGGTAAACTGAGAAGTGGTCTCAGCAATGGTGTACCATATGCCACAGTTCTGGTTCTTGTCACAGAACTCCATGAGGTCCTGTGCGGCCACTCTCGAAGCCATTGCTCTCGTACATCCCAAGTCCAACACCATCGCGGTTGGCGTCAAGGGCTGAGAGATGAAGGCTTCCTCGATCGCATTGATCTTCTCTTCGGTGGCCATGAAAGAAAAGTTCGGAGTGTTGAGATGTTCAACGAAGAAGGTTGTGGCGGCTGTGGTGCCGCTCGGGGCAGCATCAGCAAGCTGGCTCTGTCCGTCCTTTCCGGACTTTCCATCTTTTCCATCCTTGCCAAACTTGCTCTTTCCTTTGCCCTTCTTTCCTTTCTTTCCTTTTCCTTTGGCTGCATAGGATTCCTCAGACTCGTACCAGGACCAGTCATCCCAGGACTGATCGTTCCACTGGTAATCTTGCTATTGTCCTTCTGCTTGCCATGCTTCTGATTCGTCGGCAAGATGTGACCTGCCTTTCTTCCTTTTGAAGAAGCGCCTTCCTTTGGATCCTTTGCCACCTTTTCCTTTGCCTTTGCGGTGGCCCTTGAATCCGCGCCTCATCCTGCGGCCTTGGAAACGCCGCTGGAACCATGAGTAGTTCTCGTCGTCGTAGACCCAGAAGGCGTCCTCATCCGCTTCGAGAAAACCTTCCGTGCCATCCTCCTCGTCCTCGACCCAGTAGCCTTCGTGATTGTCCAGAAATCCTTCATCGATCACAAGGAACGTCTTACGGCCACCGTGGCCCGAAGGAGCGAGGAGTGGGTTGTCGACGGTAGTCTTGGTCGTGCAGAAGATCTCCAGGTAGACTTCACGCAGCTCGGCCGTGTTGTAGTCAGCCAGGACTCGGTTCCGATGTGCCATCAGTGATGTCAACACCTGCCGCTGATCCTGTGTCAGATCAGACAGGGACACAAAGATCAAAGCGACCAGGTTGGGCGTGATCGGAATGGTCCGAGCATGCTGCTCTCTGAGCCGTTCGTTGGCTCTATCCATTGCCTGAGCTGGCGTAATGTCTGCTGGTTCTTCTGGAGGAAGTCCTGCTATGAAAGCTCTGACCTCTGCATTGTTCGGGTCCTCGATCGGCAGATAGGTGTCGTTCCACGCTTCTTGCATTCTCTGAACAGAGAGTTGAAACCTGGTAATCCAACGAAGCATGTCTCCGTTCCCGCGGTGCATGTTCATGAACTGCTGGAAGCGGTAGAGAAAGACATTCGCTGCTCCTTTCACGAAGAGCGGCCGCAGGAAACTCTTGAAGTACTTAACTCCGTTGTTCGGGTCCTTCAGGCGATCTCTGTCGACAAGCCTCTTGTGGATTGCTGCTTCACCTTCTAACCGATTCCTCAAAGCTGGTCCACGCTTGTCATTGTCTAGCTCAGTAATGTCACACCAGTCATCGATCGCATCTTCGTAGGCAAACCAACTGCTTCTACCATCATAAGATGGAGGTACCTTGGTGGTCACCTGCTGGAAAGCTGAAAGACGGTGTAGTTCATTGAGATGACGATGATTCGTCGCGTAAGATTCACTGCCGTGAAGGAGGTAGTCTTCATCTCCTCCATCATGCTCAAAGATAGTCGCAGAGTGGCTAGCCATCGCGCTGTTCTTGGATCGAGCCCCGGGAGAAAACTCTTCCGGTTATCTTCACCTGTGTGAAGTGTGCCGGAGAGATCTTCACCTGAGTGAAGCACACCGGGTATTCCGGTTGCCTCCACCTGTGTAGAGTGTACCGAACGGGTACCTCCACAAGTGTGAAGCTTCCCGTTTCCCGGGAGCTCCGCTACCACGTTGAGATGTAACCTGGACGTGTATCCCCTCGCTAGGCGTACAGGAACACAGGCACTCAGGTGTCTCTTTTGCTACAGGCGCACAGCTGTAGTCCACTGCACTAGAACCTTGAGCAACAGGCATGGATACATGCAAGTGATACGTGAAACAGACAGGCACCTGGATGTGTAACATTCAGTGTTTCACCCCCCCCCCCCGGCCCCCCCACCCCCCCCCCCCCCCCACCCAGTCCGCCCCCCTAAATCCAAAAAATAAAAATTCAAAAAAATTCAAAAAAAATCAAAAAAAACAAGAAAACTCAAAAAAAAACAGCCAGTTTAGGATTCTCAAAAAGGCATCCCGCACACGAAGCAAGCTCAATAACCCTAAAAAGAAACCCTAAACCCTAAGCCCTCAACCCTAAACCCTGAAGCCTAAACCCTAAAAGGAAACCCCACACCCTTAACCCTAAACCGTAAACCCTAAACCCTAAAAGGAAACAAGTTTCCCTAAAAGGAAACCCTGAACCTTAAACCCTAAACCTTAAACCTTGAAAGGAAACCCTAAACCCTAAAAGAAACCCTAAACCCTAAACCTTAAACCCTGAAAGGAAACCCTAAACCCTAAACCCTAAAAGGAAACCCTAAGCCCTCAACCCTAAACCGTGAAGCCTAAACCATCCTAAACCCTAAAAGGAAACCCCACACCCTTAACCCCAAACCGTAAACCCTAAACCCTAAAAGGAAACGGGCTCTAAACCCTAGACCCCAAAAGAAAACCCTAAACCCTAAACCCGAAAAGGAAACCCTAAACCCAGCCCTCAACCCTAAACCGTGAAGCCGAAACCCTAAAAGGAAACCCCACACCCTTAACCCTAAACCGTAAACCCTAAACCCTAAAAGGAAACGGGTTCTAAACCCTAAACCCTAAAAGGAAACCCTAAACCCTAAGCCTTCAACCCTAAACCCTAAACCCTAAAAGGAAAACCTAAACCCTAAGCCCTCAACCCTAAAAGGAAACGGGTTTCCCTAAAAGGAAACCGAAAACCCTAAACCTTAAACCCTGAAAGGAAACCTTAAACCCTAAAACGAAACCCTAAACCCTAAACCTTAAACCCTGAAAGGAAACCCAAAACCCTAAACCCTGAACCCTAAACCCTAAACCCTGAAAAGAAACCCTAAACCCAAAACCCCCTGAACCCTACACCCTAAACCCTAAACCCTAAAAGGAAACCCTAAACCCTAAACCCTGGACCCTAAACCCTAGACCCTAAAAGGAAACCCTAAACCCTGAACCCTAAACCTTAAACCCTGAAAGGAAACCCTAAACCCTAAACCCTCAACCCTAAACCCTAAAAGGAAAGCATGAACCCGAAACCCTGAACCCGAAACCCTAAACCCTAAAACCTAAAACCCTAAACCCTAAACCCTAAACCCTAGGGTTGGCTAAGTGACCGCACGGGGTTTGCTAAGTGACCTGAAACATGATACGGTTTCCGATTGGCCAAGTGACCGTGTTCGGGGTTGGCTAAGTGACCCTGGCTCCGTCCTCTCGGTGGAGCCAAATGCCCGCACCGGCCTCAACGCCAAGGAGGTCGTTGACAACGTCGTGGCCGCGTCGTCGGCCACCTGGGCCACCTGGCCCTTGTTGCCTTTGCCTTTTCCCTTGGCGTTGAACCAGCACTCCTTCACGGTGTGCCCCGTTTTCCAGCAGATGGGGCATCTCTCCTTGCCGTCTCTGCCTCCTTGCTGGTTCCCCTTCTTGTCCCCTTTTCCTTTGCCTTTGTTGTCGTGGTCGCCCTTGCCCTTTCTGTGGTCTTTGTCCCCTTTCTTGCCTTTGTCGCCTTTGCCCTTCCCTTCTTTTCCGTCTCGGTCCCCTATTCTGCCAATGTCCATGGCGTTAGGGTCCCTTCGGGAAGAGGCGGCGTAGCCCGCACTCGGGGTATTTTGGCTTGCAAGTAGCTCACCACCACTTCCCTCACCTCGGCATAAGTCGAAAGACTCGCCGCGTGCATGGTGAGGTGCTGCCGGAGAGCGTTGGGGCTCTCGGTCACCAGCACTGCCCGCAGATCTTCGTCTGCTAGGGCGCGCCCTGCGCCATACTCGGAGGCGTAGCGGTCCACTGTCAACATCTGCCTCCCATTCCTGCAGAGCCAAGGAGAAGTCGCTCTCCTTTGGCGGGAACTTCGGCATCAGCAGGGTCCGCCTCCAGGTGAGGTTCTTGGATTCGTTCTCTGGGTTGTGCTCCTGCCACAGGAGACGCCAGAGCTCGAACCCATTCTGGCCCTTCACTCCGCGCGCCAGCTTTACAGCTGTGGCGGAGTCCTGGGTCCAGCTGCCCAGCATGCCGAAGAGGCGGACGCTAAGGGTCCGCACTTCTTCGGTCATGGCTGCCATTTGGAGTGGCACCTTGCACTTTCGAGCCACCTCCAGCTCAGCTGGATACCTGGTGTCTACGACCGCCAGGTAAGACTCTGCCTGAAAGGCAAAGCGCTCCCAGTCGTCCCGCCCCTTAAGGGAGGTAGGGAGACGCATGCTCTTGAGCAAGTGCCCTCCACCGCTCGCCTGCGCGGGCGCAGGGGCGGGGGCCGCCGTAGCGGCTGCCACCGTGGCGGCTGCTGCAGCTAGGCCCTGTTGCCTTTGGGCCGCAAGCTCGCCAATCGCAGCCTGCAGCTGCTGCGCTTGGCTCTCCAGCAAACCCCTAAGGTTTGCCACCTCCCCGCGCAGGGCCTCGACCACGGGGTCGCCCTGCTGGGGCTGCTGAGCCTGTTGCTGACTCATCTCTTCAAGCGTCGAAGATAGCCTGGCTGATCTCGTCCAGCAAGGTCAGGGCTTCTCCGTACTGCTCCTCCAGGGGGCTCTTGGCCTGTTGCGCGCTGCGTGCCTCAGTCCGTTGAGGAACTGGCACGGCCCTTGGCCCTCGGAGCTCTCCTCGGACTCCTCGCCCTCTTCCTCACCGTCCTCGGCCGGTGAGGTGGGCTCTAGCTCCTCCTCTGGAGCTTCCTCCCGAGGCGCGGGAGGTACCGCAGCCTCGGGATCTGCTGGCCCTGGCTGTGCGGCCTTGGGTTCCTCCCTAAGCGGAGGCGGTGGCCCAAGGCAAGGCGGCGGCGCCTTTACCGTTGGGGCCTTTGCTGCCGGAGCGCCTCTTGGCAAGGCCTTCGGCTCTGCCTCCGGGGTGGCCTCAGTGGGTCCACTCGCCGGGGCCGCTTGCTCCTGCCCAGCTTCGGAGCTGGGGCTTCCAGAGCTTTCTTCTTTTGCCTCGGCCGCCTTGGGCGCGGCCTTCGGTGAGGCTTCAGGCTTTGCCTCCTCGGCTGGCTCTGGGGCTGCGCAGCTCCCTTGGCAGGCTTGCCCTTGGTGGGCTTCCCTGCTCCCTTCTCCCCGCGACGGGGGGTTCGGCTCCCCGACTCCGAGGCGGGGCGGCCCGCACTCGGGCCGGTTTTGCCTTTGCCCTTTTCGGGCTCGGCTGTTCTGCCCCGGTCTTGGCCTGGGGCTGCTGTGCGCTCGCCTATGAGAGGGCGGCGCGGGCGAGCTGGAGCTTCGGCTGCTCCGCTCCCCTTGGCACCCTCCAGTGCCTGGCTGGAAGAGGCCTCCTCCTACTCGGAGGTCCTCCAGTCCCACTGGGAACTCCAGTCGGAGTCCCAGTCCCACCAGCCCCACCACTCAGACGTGGCGGCTGGCGGGTGGCGGTTCGGCCCGCGCACCCAAGGAGCGTCGGGGCCTACCGAACCAGCTCCGCTACCATGCGCGGAGGTAGGGTTGCGTATTGGGCTAACTTTTTCTACTTCGCTTGTGCCTCAAGGGGCTGCGGTTGTAAAGTTTAAGCACAGTTGGCTCAAACCCCTTAACTCTCTACAAGCTACGGCTACATGCTAGCCTAAGGCTACTGTAGATTACAAAAATCTCGCAAAAAGGGAAAAGCAAAAGAGGTGCGGGCAAACAGAACAAAATCGGCTTCAGTTCCCTTGCCGCATCGTTGGCTGTCGCGTTGGCCCTGGTGCTTGAAGCTTTCCGTTCGCCACATTCCGCCGGTCGGATCCCATGTAGCCGATGGGCTAAGACCGGCTAATTTTGCCACGCCAGCTTAGCATAGCTCAGCCGTGTCTGCAGAGTGCCATTGCTTTCGATGTGGGCGATGGTAGTATAGGACCGCAGGGACCACAAAATTAAGAAACCTTGTAGCATCTTGTAGCTGAGCTGTAGCCGTTGGTTCTTCCACCAAACTTCATAAACGTAGCACCGAGCAGAACCGTGTGAGGTGGCAGTGGGCGTCGAGCTTGCCTTGCACGTGTTGTTGGATCGCAAGCTAGTGTTGACAGACTGGGTGGGTCAAGCCAGTGGGAGTCTTGGCATTCAATATTCGGCCCTGATCGTGTTCAGCTTGAGTTGCAGTGCCGCGGCTGGCATATTGGTTTGCTTCGTGGAAGTCTTGGCTGCCGGAAGTGGAATACCAGAAATCAAATGCTATTTGAATGGGATACATTTGCCAAAGCTCGTCACGGGCCGAACTTTATTTGCCAAAGCTGTGGGGATCGTATTTTCAGCTGGGGACTGAGCTGCTGCAGACAAAGCGAGGTTTGTGTTTGCAATCTTTATAGCGAGTGTTTACTCAGGTCAGTGCGGGATTGCCTTGCGGCAAAGAGGGCCCCATGATCCACAGTGGTGCCATCGTGGGAGCCATGGTCAACCATCTCAACCTGGAGCGTCGGCTCCGACCATTGAACCTAGACGTAGAAATGCGCGACTTCGTTGCGGCAGGGGCGGCCGCTGGCGTGTCAGCCGCTTTCGGAGCGCCTATTGGGGCCGTCCTTTTCGCAGTTGAAGAAGGGGCCTCTCACATGACACCTCGGCAACTTGAATGGCTTTCAGCAGTGTTTGGTGAGTTGTGCGTGGTTGTCATGTCGAAGCTCATGGAATGTAGCAAGCGTTCGGCCTAGGATTCTGACACAGTTGTTCGTCTCCAGTTCGGTTGTCGGGGCCTGAGACCTGCTCGCCCAAAGGAAGCGGAGCTTTTGGTTTCTTGCAGATTTTCGAATCCCCGTGCGCAGGCTACCTTGGTCACTCGGCTAACTCTGGGACCTGTGCTTGAACGGCACACAATTGGCCTACTTGGGACCAGCGTGCCGGTGAGTTTTGGACGCTTCACGGAGATATCGTGCCTCGGTCTTGACTTGTTGAATTGTGCTGGCTTGCAATTGGGCGGGCGAGCTCAGCTACGATCAGGTACCATTTTGTGGAAATGTTCATCTTTGCTTTCATGGGCATCGCGGCTGGCCTGCTGGGAGCAACATTCAACCACTTCAACCGGAGTTTCACAAGGCACGGCTTGTGCTGACTGCAAGCATTGAGGAGGTCGTTCGTGGCAGCCTTTTGACTGGAGGTTTTGTGTTGTCGGGGTTTCAAGCGTGGGAGGCTTTGTAGATTTGTTTTGGCTTTGCCAAGGCAGTAGCAATCCTGCGGTGAATAGTGTTTTTGATCACGCTACGAGTATTTATGGTAGTGAATCCTATCTATCATCTCCGCTCCTTGTTTAGATTTGGAAGACTCTTGCACTTCTGCAGTGCTTGTGGAGCTCTTGCATGCATTGGTTTTAACTCGAAGAGATTCTGGGTTCAAGTGCTGCTGCTGCTGCTGCTGCTGCTGCTATCACATGCGCAACCTGGCCCGAAAGGTGGCGCAAACGGCGCATTGGGCCAAGAGGTTGCACACGATTCTTAGAAGTGCTGCATCTCTGCAGAACTTCGGATTGAAGCTTCTGAAGGAGCAGTGTTAACTAATCCAAGTCCAGCGTTTCACAGCACGCCAAGGTATGTGACCTTCGCCATTGCCACATTGAAGTTTTGGATACCTGTCTTCGTGCGCGGGCTGCAAGACAAGACTTGGGAGCCGGTCAATGTGGAGCATCTGACGTCCACCCAGCGACTCTGGTTCGACGGTGGCTGCTTGGCACAGTTTGGCGTTCAAACGGTACGACCGTGCCTAAAGCTTGCTGGTGTGCAGACAGTTGTTCAGCAAATGCTTGGGTCCACAAGGGCAGAAGTCGATCAACGATCTGTTCCACGAACAGCATGCCTTTGATGAAATTTGGCTGCTCCTCTTCTTTGGGATGTTCAATCTCGCAACCACCTGCTGGACGAGCCTTGGCACGCATGTTCCCGTGTTGTTGCATGTCACATCATCTTATGAGGCTATCTGCCTGTCTTGGCAGGTTTGGTTTGGGCGTCCCAGCCGGCCTCTTCGTACCCTCGCTGTTGACAGGGGCAGTGCTGGGTCGATGGGTCGGTGAAGTCTTGAACCGCACTCCCGAGTGGCTCATACCAGGGGCTTGGGCGCATCCGTCTGTTTACGCACTGGTGGGGGCTTCTGCCATGCTTGCTGGCGTGGGCAGGACACGTTTTGCACAACAGTCCTATACCTAACAGCAGCTATCTCCAGCGCACTTGCGTTAGATGTTGCAATGGAAGCGTCCGCCGTGTCAGGATCACAATTTCTTTGGCGATGATTCTCACCGAAGCAACTGGTGCGGGGAATTTCGCACTGCCTATACTCATGGTCGTGGTAATTGCAACCTGGACTGGCAACCAGTTCAATCGCGGCATTTATGATTTGCACATCATTGAGCTGAAGCAGATTCCACTTCTTGAGCAGACTCCAGCTGACATCATGGTTCGCTATTACGTGCGAGACATCATGAGCAAGAAGGTCATTAGCTTGGACGCCGTGGAGAAAGTGGGTACGGTCTTGGATGTTTTGTCATCTTGCAGTCATAACGGGTTTCCTGTGGTGGATGTTGGAACGCAAAAGCTGGAAGGCATCATCGAGCGCGGCTATCTGCACCTGCTTCTCTCCAGGGGCAACTACTACTGTATGTTCCAAGATGACCGAGAAGCCAATACTGGTCACTCAATGGTCCCTTTTGAAGCAATTGCATGGCCGAACATACATTCGTACCCAAGCGTGAACGAGCTGAAGCGCAGACTTTCGAGCAAGAGCTTGGACATGTGGATTGATCTGCGGCCATATGTCAATGCCAACGGCTACTCTATTCCTCCGCATGCCTCGATGGCAAGCGCCTTCTCGCTTTTCAGACGGCTTGGATTGAGGCACCTTCCTGTCGTCGACCGTCATGGTGACCTTTGTGGGCTGCTGACGCGAAAGGACACGCGGACACAGAGACATGCAAGCAGACACTGGTGTAGAGTCGAGTTGTAGACCAACAAACACGAAGCTGCACCTACAGGCATGCCGCAAGAGAGAGAGAGAGAGAGAGAACTAACAGTTTGTGTCATGATGATCTTGTAACAAAGGGGCGAGGCCTAAAGCTCAGTAGAAAACCCACGGAGCACCACAACGGCAGCGGGGCGGGAGCAACACCAACTAAGCCAAACAGCTAGCTCCGCCATGCTCCGCCCGTGGGGAGCCTGACTTTTGTCGCACGTAGTACCGTGCGCCCCTCCCACAGGGCGGGCAGCTCCCGCGGGGGCGTGCCCTCAAGCCTCAAGCCTGGGGAAGAAAGAGAGAGAGAGAGAGAGATAGAGGACTGCTCCTGCCCTAAACCCCGAGCAAAGCAAAGAGAGATAGAGAGAGAGAGAGAGAGAGAGATAGAGAGAGAGGGAGAGAGCAGACTGACAAAGCAAAGCAAAGCAAAGAGCAGACTGACACTACCAGTGCACGCTTGCGTGCAGGGAGAGGGGGTCCGCCTTCTCTCTCTTGACTGTGTGGAGAAGCGATACCGAGGGATTCTTGATTTGGGGAGCGCAAAGACAGAGCGAGAGAGTAAGACAGGGCTAGCCAGACATCCTCATTACAGGACCGGGAAGGATGGACTGATGCGAACGGGGGCAGGCGTGAGCGCAAAGCAAGCAAGCAAGCAAGAAGCAAGCGAGCAACACTCTGGGACTTAAATAAGAGTGCCCGTCTCGGGCATCCACCAACACAGCACGACACAGAATAGGCAGGCAACCGATCCAGTGTTTCCCCCTGCAGCTTGCCCGATCTCTACATGGATGCCTGAACCCTGTCGTGCAGTTGCTTTTATTTGCTTCGGTTGTGCAGTGTCAACCTTAGCAAGTGCAAACTGGAGCAACAGAGTGATGTGGTGCGGTGATACAGGATTCAGGGAAGTTTGAGGAGGGCGGGGCGAGTTGCACACAGAGACCACCTTGTCGAGAGCTGACTGTCAGAGTTGTGTGTGGTCCGGGCAAGATACCAGGAACTGTTGCCTGATACTGTTGCAAACTCGGGAGCCACACCCCACAGCTGGTTTCATAAGTCCGGGGCTCAGTACATGAGCTGGCCCCCCCACAACACCCCCCAACAATCCAACCACTCCACAACCACCCCACAACCCCGCAACCCCACAACTTTGTAGACACCACACACCCCACACCCTACACGCCACACCCTACACGCCGCACCCCACACCACACTCCACACCACACCCCACACCTACCCGCCCCCTTGCAAATTTCCTGTTTAGTTCGGAAGGCTACGCAGTTTGGGTTATACCGTAACAGGCGAAAGGGATTGCGGCTTGCAGCCCCACATCGTAAAGAACTGGACCGTTCCAGGATCTCATCCTCGTCGAGGAAAACGAGGTCACAGGCGAGCTCGTGCAGAGGCGAGGCGCTGCAATTATCTGTGCGGAATGGCTTCGTCATCGTACCCTTCTGATTTAGCTGTAGCACCATTGGCTCAGGACTCCCGGCTTGTAAACTGTCGTAAGGTCCGCTTTAAGGCATGCGACATGACAGTAAGACGGTTACTTTCGGCGAAGTAGAAAATAGCAGCTGCAAGTGCACGCACCGTATGTACAATTTAATGAGTCAGATGCTTGTAGACATGCACCACATAAAGATTATATCAATTATATCCTCGTCTGTCTCCCTTGCCTTACCGTTCGCATTGCCTCCTCATGCGGAGACCTCCGTGATTTCTTCGACGAGTTTGCAGTGAACCATGAGAGGACAGCCGTAGGGAGCAAATTCCAAGGCAGAGCTGGAGTATCGGCCTGCCCTCCAAGGGCGACCATGACGACTTGATTGTCCTTGGAAGGTTGGTTGCTACATGTTGCTGATTGTGCTCCTCCAAGGCGGCTCTGGTCGAGACACCAAAGTTCGAATGGCCTGCGCCGACAAGGCTTACGAGGAGGCCCATCTCCGTTCCATTCCGGGAAAGTTTTCCAAAACAAGGCTCAATCCAAGTTCTGGGGCATTGAGCTGGACGGGGATCAGGGCGTTGTCCGCCCATCCAGGACACGACTGTGTGGCCTCTCATTGCTATTTCGATGCGAGCGGCCATGCTGGGTGTGGCGACAGTGAGTCTTCTCAGAGGCCGTGCATCCATTGCTCTCCTGAGGCGGAGGACGCTCTTTTTCATGAGCTTGATGTTCGCTGCGGCTGATTGTGGGGACCTCGAACATGTGGTGCGGCTCTCTCCGGAGTTGAAGGCCGAGCTCTGGTGCTTGATATGCCTCGGCCCGGTCATTGCCGTCGAGCTCCGTGCCGAGCCTGACTTTACGTCAGCTATTGCTGCAATCTGCTGCATCGAGTTGAGGAGGGGCCGGGCCGGGGTGAGAGCACAGGTGCCGAAGCCCATTGTGCTGGAAGTGTGCAGACACTCCCGCTGGAAGAGAATTGGTGTCAGTCACAATCAGGTGGTTGAATCCACAATTGAGAGACACGCCAGCAACGGCGAGTTCAGTGCTGCCTCCAGCGAGAACCGGGAGAGGCCCATGCCACGAGTTGTCAACAGCGTGTGCCATTGTGAAGGCTGCCTCTTCTGGATCAACCAAGAAAAACCCCGCGGGTGCTCACTCCCGGTGGTTGGCTTGGTGTTCTCTCACCTGGCCGAGGTCGGAACAGAATCCTCGAGTCGCCCGACGCCATCTTCACCCAAGCCCGGCGACGGCTTGTAGACTCGGCCCTTTGGATAGAGACGGACCTTGTGGTGGCAGTCACTAAAGTGAGGGAGCCCACCAAGCTCGTCCACGTTATGTAAACGAACGAGTTGGACATTAAGCAGCCGATCCATAGCAATCGTGAAGAAACCAGCCAGACGGCTGCATAGGCGCAACGGGGATCCTAAGCAAGAGGATCCGCACAAAGAGCACGACGAGTAAACGTGGATCTTGCACTTTCCGGCTTTAACTAATCACACTCTAACGTCAGAAGAGTCGCGGGTGTAATACAGACTTTTATTACAGTGTGTATGAAAGATAGATTGGTTTCAGCTTGATTCGAACCCCAATCCAGCCACCCACCACGGGTCTTGAAGCAAAACAGTGAAACCGGCTGCGTGGTGGCTCAATGCTTCCTCCTGGCTGGCGACGGTGCAAGGACACGGTCATTCTTTCCGTTCATCCGTCCAGAAAGCAATTTGGCCACCAGCCCGGTTCCCACCAACCGGACATGGGGATTCATCGAACCATTAAAATCAAGCTGCCTCTTGAGAAGAGGAACGGGCCAGGAGCCTAGCAAGCATACCATTGGTTGATCCGCGAACCCAAGCTGCAGGATTATCACAGTCCCACTGCGGCTGTAGGGCGTTGAGCAGCTAAGCTTTTAAGCTAAGTTTTAAGTCTGAGCACGTGTTAGATTAATCATCAGATTTCCCTTGAATGCGTCGGTACCTAGAATACTCCATTCGGGTCAGCATGGCCGGGTGAGCAGGTTGAACACGGTATTGCATAGTAAGATTCCCAGCCAGTCAGTTACTTCATCTGGATGAACGAATGAGCTGATGATGTTGATGTAATGGCTTCTGGCTTCGAAGCGCCGCCTTTGCCTGGCCATCACCGAAAGCAATGTCAGGTCCCAGCCGGCCTTGCTTTCAGACACCGGCTGGGCATATCGGAAGTCAGAAGCCAACGATCTTGAATCGGGCACGTCTGCAGAGGACTGCGCGTGATATATCAGGCGCATGTGCTGTCGGTGGGTGCATTCCTGAGCGCCAGGACGTTGGGATGGATAGCATGCTGGAAAGCGAAACGGATGGAAGCGATGCCTTTGTCGAGGTGTCGGTGCGTGTGCAATCATCTTCCATTTGCGACTTATTTCTTTTGTTCACTGGCATTGCCAGCATGCTGCGTCATTCTCCCATATTTCTTTTCCTGGCTTTCCGCCTGTTTGCAGGAAGCCTCGAATGGCAACGCCGACAGCAGTGAATCCGACGAGAGGAACCAATCACCACAAGGCCATGCCCTGGGTGTTGTGGATGGCTTTTGAAGTGCAGGCCGTGAGCTTGATTGCTGTCCGAGTGGCCTGTAGACCCCATCTATCTAAACGACCTGCTGCCTTGTGCGGTCGGACGGCGGTTCTGCTGTGTCCGAGTCATCTGGCAACGAGTTCTGATTAATTACACTTGCTTAGGGTCGAAGAGCAAACAATGTGCCCACCCATTCTCCACCGCTTCTGAATTTCCTAGAAGGTCAGAATGCTCAGCTCTACCACAACCAGCAGCAGCACCACCGCCAGCACCGCTGCCGAGAATGCCTCCGCTACACCACCGCCGCTACACCACCACCACCACCACCACCGCCGCCGCCGCCGCCGCAGCCGCCGCCACAGCCGCTGCCAACCCCACCGCCACCGACGTGGCGGTGCGGAGTCTTGGTACGCTCAACAGCAGCGTGATGCGCATCCGGCGACATATTCGCTGACCTAGATCCTGTCGCAACGTTCGGATTTCTCCTAACTGCGGTACAAACAAGCCGCCAAGAACAAGGCTTCGAACGCCAACCGAGGTGCGAAGGGAGTTGAGCGTTGTCTGCCTGATGCAACCAAAAAGAAAAGAAAAGGAGAACCCATATCCGCTTTCTGGGCACTCGCAGACCGTAGCGGGCATCAACTGACATCAGTACATCTGCTCGCATGAGTTCATCTCCATGGGCAAGATGTCGCGTTCGTGCTTAGGTGGCAAATTCAAGAGCTCGAAGGGCGGCAACGGATAGTTTCACAGCAAACTGGCAGCTTTCGAAATGCTGTCAGCACATGAGGTTCAGAAGGCAAATGAGTTTATGCATCTCAAGCCAGGTTCCTTCTTGGGCAATCGTTGTCTGTCGTCATCGGTTGCACATTTGCAATGGGCTCCGTATCCTGTCCGTCAATGCAGCTGTGCGCTTGGTGTTTCCATCAGTCCATGTTGGTCAGACTTCCGTTTTGTTCGTGCTAGTGTTCGTCTGAAAGAGCCAAGAGACAAAGTGTGCTAATTATGCTGCTAATTAGTTGGAGGGAAGTGTGCGCAACATGTCTCAAGCCTCAAGCATTGACACGGCGATTGCTTCGAATTTTGATGTCATGCTGTGACTGCTGACTTACATGACACGTAGATTAGAGTCAGTTTGTAGATTACATCCTCTTGTTTGCAAACCGGCCACTTGGGCAGGATTGGCGTTGAGAAATTGAACTTGCAGCTTCGCAAGTTCCTTGCTTGTGTAGGCAATCGCGGGAGTCCACATCTACAACTCGCAACTCGCATATGTCATGTGCACCAAGTCACCAAGCCCTAGCTGACAAGATCGTTTTGTGTGGGTGCATCGCTAGCTTTCTCATCTTCGAGGTGATGTGGCGAGCATGGGCGGCTTCGCCTGAACCATGTCACAGGTACATGGTAGAGTGGTGTAGTTGTTCTGCAGGCTCGACTTGCACGTTCACATTGTATGTTCAACAAGTCTTTGTTCGCAGCCATCCACGCTTGGATGGATTTTTTTGTGCAGCTGCGGCAGGCGCTTTGGAGAAGCTGCCAAGCACTCTCTGGATCGTGCTAAGATGCGCTAACTGCATCCCTCACTCGGAGAGCGAGGGTCTTTGTGGAACGTCACGTGTGGTCGTTTCGTCCAGCAGAAGTTGGCTTCATGAAGGGACCTTCCACGTTTCAACGTGCATGCTCGGCTACAAATGCCGAGGCAACGAAGTGCAGGTGCGTAATGGTGCGTAGCAGTTCTTGTAGTGGTATGTAAGAATCGCCGGCCATCACGTTGGGCGATAGAAGTTGCAAGGTATGCCCGGCCCGTGCAGCTGCCTTCTATCGCGGTTGACCCCGGTTAACCATCGAATTCAGCTCATCTCCTGGCATCCCCGAGAGTTTTCCACGACATGCCGGCAAACAAAAGTGTTTCTCACATTGGTTGGAACGAACATGCTTGCAGCTCTGTCTCTGAGGAGTGCATGGTAGCAACAAGGCTCAGCTCACCAGGAAGACGGAGAGGTTTGGTACAAACTGTGGTATCAGATAGTGTAGCGACAGAAACCCCCGGAGATCGGAGATTTTTTGATTGCATTGCAAAGTTCATGAGTTGCAAAGCCAAGCACTGACGTGCAGTACCATCTGGCGGCAACATGACACGGCTCCATGGCTCAGACGACTCTCCTCCCAAGGACGCGGAAGCGCATTCGTCTTTGTATTGAGCCGGCTGCAGTTTCGCGTGCTGCCACAGGTCTGCGCGGTTCTTTCAAAGGCCGGGTCCTGCAGCCGGTGGCTAAACTTGTTTCGGGCATCCCTCCACGGAAATCAACAGCTGCCAGCACAGGCCGTGCGGAGGGTATCTTTGCTTGGCAGATGCAGATTTAAGTGACTGGATTGGCGAGGTGTGTGTCGGACTTCATGCCCATTTCGTGCAGTTTCGGGTGAAGCCCATGGCATCTAGGAACATGCAGTCAAACACAGGTTCTTGCCACATCGACAAGTCGTCATTTGGAGGGCGTCCTTCGCCGGAATTGGCCGAACCGACGCCGTTTGTAGGTTGCTCAACCTTATGACCGTTATGTTCGGCTCGACGTGTAGGCATGCAGCCGCATTCAACAACTTCCGGTCCGCTGCCGTTGGGGAGGTGGGGCTTCGCTGGTCGGCGAAGCCTCGCCCCCGGAAAAGCGAAGGGGCAGAACTCTGTCAATGTCCGTGGCGTTGCCCAATGGCCCCCAAGGTGCAGACGCTGCTTTGCATGAGAGGGTGAAGCCGGCCATGCGTTGAATTTTTTTTTTTCTTGGTGTTCTTTTTCTGAAGTTCTCACGCCGCTCTAAACGCCGCTCGAGGCAGGCCCAGAGTTGCTGGCCGCCTGCCGCGCGAAGGCACCTTTCGCTGTGATCTTGTCGCCGTGACCGGGCCTCCGCCCCGCGAGGCCTCGTCCTTGGACTTCGGCTCCGTCCTGATCACCGAGGCTCCGAGCCCCCTGCAGGCCCCAGCCAGGAGCCCCACTTTTTCAGGGCTTTCGCACCGGTCTTGGAGGTGCGTTATGTCCTGCACACGACAGTGCCAGGTGGGGCCTGCGAACGAAGCGTGTCGAAAGCACAAAGCACATACTTGCTCGAAGGGCACCCCGGGTCCAGGGACCCGCGGCCAATGCCTGCTGACCGGGCAGCGGCTTTCACCTCAGTTTCTTTCCAACCTCGTCTCTGACATCTGCCTCAGTTTGGGATCTGCGTGGTGCTCTCGATTGCGTACGTTCCTGACCAGGAATTTCATGAATTCGGTAAGTTGAACTGGTGTAGTTTCTGCGGGTCGTCCGGGCATCTCAGACTTAGAGGCAGAACGACCCACATTGAGCTATGCACTCTTTTTGCCAAGCGACCTCTTTGCGGATAGGATTACGCTGTGGATGAGCTTCAAGCTGAAGCACTTCTGAAGCGAAGTTTCCAAGGCAGGCTACCGCAGCGCATGTGGCTAAACGGCTGAGTTGAACGGTCTGTCAGAGGTTTGTGAAGCCGAGTTTCGAGATTTTCTCGAGCCCTCAGACTCCGTAGACCTCCGGGCGTCACAAATGGCAACTCGACAGCGCGATGTCATCCAACTCGTCGCCTCCGACTCTCAGCTCGAATGCACAAAACCCGAGACTACAGCTCTTTTGAGACCATGCCAGGAGTGCAATTCCTTCGCCGAGCGTTTCTTTTCGGAGCCTGGATGCTGATTTAGACTGATTCAGATGGGTTCCATCGACGTTGCTGCGAGAACTAGTGCCGAGGAGCACCGCCGCTATTTTGAAGAACTGACCAGCGGTGAAGTAGGATCTGGAGAGCAGAAGGCTGAATGGCCAGACCCCTAATTGAGGGGAGCAGCACGAACGTGAACGCTTCTCAGTGCCCTTGCTGTGCCACTGCTTCGCATCGCATCGGCGATTGCCGGTTTTGACATGTCTGGTGGGCAATGACACGCAAGCACAGATGCAGTCGGAACAGCCGGGTTGACGTTGTGCAGCCATTGCTGAGGTTTCAAGTGTTCAAGAGGTTTGAGGCAGAAGCCGAGTTGACAGTGCAGAACGTAACTTGGCTGTACCGGTCGTTCGTTCTGGTTCTCACCCTCAGGCATTTGTGTGCCTGTTGGTTTTGGGTGAGAGGAGCCAAACTTCTCATTCTCTGATGTGCTTCCAGGCATTGATGCTGTGGGGCGCTGTCCAAGCCAAAACCTTCGAGCAAGAGTTCATCGAGGCAGCAATGCAGTCAGATGCAACTGGCAAGGTTTGGAAACTTGTGTCGAGTCTGTGTAGTCTTTTGCTAAGTAGTGGAGTGGTGAAATGCAGTGTTGTCGCGACGGCGGCAGAGACAACCTCAGGCTCTGAATGATTATTTGTCTCTGACGGAGTACCCCATGTTCGTCAAGCGCATGTGGAGGGAGGTTCAAGCAAAGCGCGAAAGAGATGCTTGACTGTGCATGGCAGCAAAGTGTGAGTGCCGTGGTGGAATGCGGTGATGCGCGCTTTCGGGACGTAAGGATGCCAAGCTCGGAGAGGACAGGGTGGCCTCGCCGAAGTTCTGCCGGCAGACATCCAACCGGTCCCTGGGAGATGCAAAGCGACGCACAGTGCAGCAAGCCGTCACTGCAAGCCCTTCCCAGTGCCAATCTTTTGAGTTTTGCCAGGGTTGTGACCCTCTTTGTTTTGACGACCGCATGTGGAGACTTTGGACCTGCTCACGACGGGTGAAGGCGAGCAGCTTGACATGGGCCAAAGCCGACGACACCTATGGAGGACAGCATCGTTTCGGAACGCTTGGCCGCACTGGACCAGCGATTGGCAGAGATTGAGGAGGGGAGAGGGATTGACCGTACAACATCCTTTCCACTGGCCTGAGTGTGCTCTTTTCTTTTCCGTTGTTTGCTTGTGCACCGACTGCAGACTGAGCGCAATGCCCTGCTTCTGGAGCGTCGCCATTTAGTTGGCCGTGATGTGTTGCCCGAGACTTGTCTCATTGGATTTGGGGCAACATGCCGGAAGGCAACGCGAAGCTACATTTAGACAGCACGAAGTGACAGTGTCAGGACACGAGCGAGACTCTCAAGCGCGAGATCAACCTTCAGAGGTATCGAGAGGACTTGGCCACAGGATCTGAAGGGATGCGGCTTCCTGTCGCCACACATAGCTTGGCAGGAAGTTGGCTTGGATTGACGAGACAGTGATCGTTTGCATTGTCTGGCTTAAGGCCACCCGCGAAAGCGGTTGTATGCTTCAGAAGCAGGCTGCGGCAAAACACGACAGGGATCGTACTGTACAGGCTCTTCCTTGTCTAAGCCTTCACCCGCGAATTCGCCAAGCGACACTTGATTTTGAGATGTGGCTTGAAGGCTTCATTTGTTCAAGACTTCATATGCCAGTCGTCCACACAAGGTTTTGCAAGCACGTGTTTCTTGGTCCTCTTGTGTTCGCCGCTATCCTAAAGGCCATGACAACCCAGTGCCCTTGGCAAGTGATGCTTTGGTGTTTGGAACCCTTGGTGTGACGAGATTTCAATGCGATCCGGAAGCACAGTTGACTTCCATGTTTCTGACGCGGCGTTGCAGCGCTAGAGAGGGAGGGAGGGAGAGAGAGAGAGAGAGAGAGAGAGAGCGGCTGCGCGGTTGTAACCTATCCCGTGAGCCCTGCAGAAATTGCCCAAAAAGGCGCAGCCGAGTGAGCCGAGTGTTTGAGTGTGTGTGTGAAAACGCTTGTACATTGTGCTCAGTGCATTTGCTTCTCAGTGGCCTAGACATGCAGCGGAAAAGGGGGAACGTTAGGTAGCTCCGTCCAACAAAGCGCCGTTACTCTTTCAAGGTAATGCAACTGCATGCGCAGTGCTCGTCCGGGGTGCCAGCGTGGGCAGCTGGAAGGCCTCTCCGTCTCATCCAGCTTCTGGGGCCCGGGCAGGTGCGCAATGTCGAGCAGCCTCGTGGCGTTCATCAATTTCAGATCACTGCCAAATCAACTGTCCAATCAGCTTGACTAGGGCTCCAAGGCTGGTCTGCTCCACGGGTTCTTTGGCCCCGCGGCCAGCAACTGTTTGGTGTATCCACCTCCGAGACCAGATCTTCCGCACCCCCCGGAACACGAAAGAATTCCTTTCAAGGAAGTGATGCCAATCCTTCGTTGGTGTAACTGGTTCAGATCTGTGTAGCACCTGTGCTGTAGGATGCAACCCAATCCTGCAAGAATTGCTTGTGCAACAAGGTCCCTTCGCCACTCAGCGTACTGACGAAGCATACACCTGCCCCCAGCCAGCACCACGACCTGACGGCCAGCTCCTTGGGCAACAGTTTTGATTGCCCAGTAAAGGTTTTTCGAGCAGGCACGGTCAACGTGGACTTCGTCGTTCCCCATATTTAGGAAGTCCGAGAACGGGCTATACTAGGCCGCGTACCCAACCACACAGCGTCACAGATAGCGTAAACCTGCCCGCTGCATTATGCGAATGGCTCTCTAGAGTCAAGCACTCCTCCCTCAGCTTCCTCCTTCCTCCTCCGCCCGACCAATCTCGCATGGGTGAGCCCCAGATCGCATCTTCCATCCGAGACACCTGCTATGGTCGCTCAGAGGAGCCAGTGCCCCAACAGACTCATGGTGACGTGGTTCGCCTGGTTATGCCCAGTTCGGAATATGTGGCGGACTGTGGTTCCACTCGAGAGGCGTGATTTGCATGGCCATCCGAGCTTGTCACTGCAGGACGAAGGAGCAAGTCGCTAGCAAAAAGAGTGCGGCACAATTTGGAAGGGTGTGCATACTCCAGAAATTCAATCATGCTAATCATGCTCCCATAGTCTAAGGCTTTGTCAGACGCCAGAATGGGTGGTTAGCGTTCTCGCGTTCGTGTGCAGCAGAGCCAAGCCTGGTCGAGGCATACTGCAGCACACAGCGGACCTCGGCGCAACTTCCCTTTGTATCAGCCTCAAGCCATGGGGGCTACGATTTTCGTCCGTGCTGTGTGCCATGCAAGCAATGCAGACTTGTGCCGACTTTGGGTGTCGAGGCTGTCCTGCCATTGGTTGCGGAGTTCGAGGTGCGTTCAGTTCAAGCCGTACACCTGTGCGTCACTGCGCACAAAGGCTTTCCACCAGAAGTTGCTGCACGTGTTGGGCTGACTGTTTTTGCGGACTCCAAACGGCTTGTTTTTTGCTTGACAGTTCGGGACATTCTACATGCCACGTCCATGTCCGAGAAGTTTCACTGCAGTGGAGTCACGTCTGATCCAGGACAGCCAGGACGACGAAGTCGGGGCGGGACGGAGGAGCTGAGTGCTGTACTCACGGACCGGACACATTCTGTTCAAAGGGCATTGTCCCACAATGCCTCACTACGTTGCACATCAGCTCAGACAGTCCCGAGTCCGAAGACTTCATGGAAGTCCCGCAGCGCAAAATGCTGCATACGCCTGACGAACCCGCTTAATCGGACGGACTGGTGACCCCGAGCTTCACGGCTCGAAAACCTACGTGAGATCTGCTAACATGTCCGTTTCAAGATGTAATTAAACAGATGTGGTGAATGTAGTGGCGGCAGGCCATTGTTGCCGTTCTCACAGCTTTGCAAGCTGTGGTATCGCTTACGTGGTATTACTTACAGAGTGAGTGGTTCAAGGACATCCCGTGGTGCTTGAAGTTATCGTGATGTCTTTGAGTCTTTGAATATGTGAGCAAGGAGTGCCAGCGAGAAGCAGCCATCGGTCCAATATGTTGAGGCTGGTTGGCAGAGCACTGTCCGTCATTGTTGGGTTTGAATGATGTTGACGCTGGTTGAGGCAGACTGTCCATGTGCCAGTGGTGTTGTTCCATCTGGTTGCGTGTCAACATGGGCTCGAACATGTTGGGTATGCGTTGCTGTCATCTACCAGGTTACCAGAATCTACCAGCCCTGGGCGAGCAATGATTAACTGTCGTAGGCAGGGTTCGGGATTGGGACCACGATCAGCGTCGGCTGGGACCAGTCGGCTCGGCTGAAACGCCTCACGAAGTTTGTTTGGTTCACACCGTCTTGGTCTGTTCAGGTTCGCTTCTGGGATCATCAAGTCCTACAAGCATGGATCCGAGAGGCATGTGCTCATGTCACAGTGTTGTTTGTGCATTTGGGCTGAGCCCCGTATCGGTGACGATGGAATTGATCCTTGTATGCGTTTCGTGCATGTCATGGACGGAGGCTGTTGTCAACAGAGGTCTTGTGGAAGTTGAGGACGGGCATTGTGGGACGGCAGGTGGTGAATTCAAGTTGTCGGACATTTCAGGCTGAGGTGGGCTTCCTACATCTGTTTACGCAGATTCTTCGTGCTCTTGTGGCCAGCTCGACCTTCAAAATGATAGGAAAATGCTCAGCACCTAGACAACCAAGAACGAACATGGGTGTTTGAACTTGTTGTTTGTTGTGATGCTTGGGTCTGCAAGCAGGAGTTCCAGGCTCGTCGTTCTGCCGGTGAGGAGAGTACTGGAGAATGTACACAAAATGTGTCGGTGCACACTTTTGTTTTTTGCTTCGGATTGCAGCTCTGCCGAAAACAGGTGCGCCAAGAGCCCGCATCTCAGAAACGACAGCATGTCGCAGTGCGGCGGGCGGTACCTTCGTTTGGCGCTTGTTATCTTTAGCGAGGCTGTGGCAAGGCGATACGCTCGCAGCGTGGACAGAAAAGAGACGCCAGGCCGCGAGTTGAGAGCAACGACTCCAGATGTTCTGAGTCCTTGTTCATCCACTCATCACGCAGCGCTCTAGAACTGGTTGTGCGCGAGGCTGAACGTGGCTTCTGCTCGATCGCATGAAGCGGAGGAAGAAACAGGTCCACTGCGAAACGTTCCATAAGGAGTGCAGTCACGCCCATATACCGGCTTCATGGCAAACGCGCAATTCCTCACACTTCGGCCTCACATGGCTCGGTAGATTTGAGGAGACAGGATGGGAGTAGTGCACGGCACCAGCAACTATCCACCTGTACAAAGCAGAGGTAGAAGGGTAGAAGACTTCCCTCATAGTTTCCGGTTTCACAATCGACAACCTGGAAAACCAGGCTTAGTTGCACAATGGACTGCTCGCACTTAGTGGCCAAAGCAGTGGAGCGACTCAGCCAAGAATTCATCCGCGGCAGGTTTCTCCAGGGGGGGGGTTCACCACCCATCCCCCACCTGCATGTCAACCGGGGGGTCACGACCCCAACGCGCACCAACCCCACCCACCCAAGTCGAGGGATTGGCACTTCGAAAGTGTCAGGTTTTCAGAGCTTGGAAGTTGGAAGGTTTGAGAGTCCGACAGTTCGAGAATTTGAGTGTTCGAGGGTTGGAAGGTTCAGCCGTTTGAGGGTTCGAAACGTCCCGACTTCCCAGGTTCGACGATCCGCTGCCTTCCGAGTTTGAAAGTTTGAGGTTCGAAAGCTTGAGACTTCGACGGTACAAAAGGTTGAAAGTTGACATCAAGTACACGCCCATGTTAGACGACAGTGCTTGATCTCATATCTTGCACCTGCCCCCTCAGTATGTCGCGACAGTTGAGTTCAGAAGTTCCACACATCTCAAATCCGCGGCGAGCGCTTGATCCCAAATCTTCAGCCCAGCCCCGCTTTGGGCGAGATCGGTTGATTTCATATAAGGCGATGACGATTGATCCCATATCAGTCCATGCCGGTCCTCCTTAGGCAGCGGTGATTTCACATATCAATTCGGCCCTTTCGTTCCACGATGGTGCTTGGCCTCATATCTTGAACCCGCCCCCTGAGTAGGCGAGTGCCATTGACCCCATAATGCCATATCTTAACCCGGCGCGGTCATTAGGCGGGCGAGGTTGAATCCCGTCCTTTCATCAG